ATCATGACCTGAGCTGAAGTCGGACGCTCAACAGACTGAGCCACTCAGATGCCCCAGAATTTGCATTTCTAACAAGTTCCCAGATGCTGCTGATACTGCTAATGGGGGACCACACTGACCTAGGAAAAAATCACATACCCATAATGCCAACCTATTTGCAGTATTTTATTTATTTATTTTTTTAAATTTTTTTTTTCAACGTTTTTTTTATTTATTTTTGGGACAGAGAGAGACAGAGCATGAACGGGGGAGGGGCAGAGAGAGAGGGAGACACAGAATCGGAAACAGGCTCCAGGCTCCGAGCCATCAGCCCAGGGCCTGACGCGGGGCTCGAACTCACGGACCGCGAGATCGTGACCTGGCTGAAGTCGGACGCTTAACCGACTGCGCCACCCAGGCGCCCCTATTTATTTATTTTTTAAAAGATTTTTATTTTGGGGGCACCTGAGTGGCTCAGTTGGTTAAGCGTTGAACTCTCAATTCAGCTCAGGTCATGATCTGGCAGTTTGTGAGTTTGAGCCCCACGTCAGGCTCTGCACTGACAGTGAGGAGCCTGCTTGGGATTCTCTCTCCCTCTTTCTGCCCCTCCGTTGCTCTCTCTCTCTCTCTCTCAAAAACAAATAAACATTAAAAAAAGATTTTTATTTTTAAATAATCTCTACACCCAACATGGGGTTCAAACTTACAACCCAGAGATCAAGACTCACACACTACTGACTGAGCCGGCCAGGCACCCCTACCTGGAGTACTTTAAAGCCTCCTCAGCATTAGGAATGATTTTCCACACAGATCACAGACTATATCTTTGTTTGAGAGCCTCCCATTCTCAGTAAGAATTTCTCTACGCACTTGCTACTGGAATCTTCTCTTTTAGCTAGCCTTGGGATACAGTTAGGCCGAGAGTTTCCCATACATTTGGTTTTGAATAAATAGCTCTCCTCAATTATTAAAGATGATGCATTTACGGGGCACCTGGGTGGTTCAGTTGGTTGAGCGATCGACTTTGGCTCAAGTCATAATCTCACGGTTAATGAGTTTGAGCCCCGCATCAGGCTCACTGCTGTCAGCACAGAGCCTGCTTTGGATCGTCTGTCCCCCTTGCTCTCTGTCCCTTCCCTGCTTGCTCTCTCTCTCTCTCTTACACACACACAAATAAATAAAACATTAAAAAATGGTGCATTTAAAAAATTTTGTGGGGTGCCTGACTGGCTCAGTCAGTAGAGCATGTGACACTTGATCTCAGGGTTGTGAGTGCAAGCCTCACATTGGGCATAGAGATTGCTTAAAAAAACATCTTTTATTTTGTAGTAATTTTAGATTTACAGAAAAGTTGAAAAGATGGTAAAGTTTATATACTCCTTGCTCAGGTTTTTTTTCGGTTTTCATTAATGTTAACATCTTACATTACCAGTGTACAAGAGGCCGACATTAGCACAAACTATTAACTCAACTCTAGACTTTATTTGAATTTCAACTGTTTTTCCACTAATGCCCTTTTTCTGTCCCAGGATCTCACATTACTTTAGTTGGCATGTCTCCTTAGTTTCCTCTGACCTGTGAGTTTTTCTGTTTCCTTAGTTTTCATGACCTTGACAGTTTTGAAGAGTACTGGTCAGATATCTTGTAGAATGTCACTCAAATTAGATTTGTTTAATGTTTTCCTCATGATTACTCTGGGTTTATGGGTTTCCTGCAAAAATTCTACAGAAGTGAAGTTCCTTTTTCATCATCTCATATTGAAGGTATATGATATGAACATGAATTATTACTGGTAATGTTAACTTTGATCACTTAGTTAAGGTAGTTTTTACCAGGTTTCTTAACTGTGAAGTTATTATGTTTCCTTTTCTATACTTAACTCTTTGGAAATTAGTAATTCCAGAGTGTGGATTTCACCACAGACTTACTGTATGACCTTGGGCAAACTATCTAATATCTCTATGTTCCAAATTTTTCATTTCTTCCTCCCCAATTCTCATTTTATTATTATTAAAAAAAATTTTTTTTACATTTGTTTATTTTTGAGAGACAGAGTGAGACAAAGTGACAGTGTGGGAGAGGCAGAGAGAGAGGGAGACACAGGAT